AAGATGCTGTAAGTTCTAGATTTATTCAAGAGGTTTATATTCTTCAGTAGTTTGGGAATCCTAACATGGATATAGTACTGCCTTGTTTTATTGTTCCCATAATTTCAGTGGCAGACGCAGAAATTTTACATAGAGGGGGCCAACTTTAATGCAATTGTGACAGTCTAATAACTGACTTTTGCCGATCAAAAATAAAAATAAAAATTAATGCATTCAAAATTGACAACAAATTTTAATTATTTTATTATTAGCAAAGATGTCATAGTTAAGAAAATGAATGGTCTATTTTTTAAAACACATTGTTAATTTTTTTTTGAGACAATTGCGATAAATTGAATAGACTATGATTATCAAATTGACTTATTAGTTTTTTTTTGTAAATAATATAAACAAAATGTCCAACAAAATAATAAGTTCTAATCATCAAGACGAGGCCCGTGGCCATCCCCAGCCCCCCCTTCTGCCCTCCATTGCATAATTTGTTCTTGTTGATCAAAACATAGAATCGTTTTTGATTTATTCATATCCTATATGTCAAGTAAGGCACACCCTATGTTGGTGTGAAATAAACTGCACACACACAAACAACGGCAAGCAAAAACAATAACAAGCATACAACCACGACAGGTGTGTTAAAAAAAACTGGTGGAATTAGTAAACTGATCCAATCTGGTCCAAACTGCCAGTTTGGTCCAATTTTTATTAGCTTTGGTTTTGGCTCTAATTTCGAAAATGCTAGAACTGTTTGTATCAGTCAGGTTTGTAGTTTTAAGGTTTCGGTCATGGTTCTAACTAAAACGTGATATATTTGTTTAATATTTTTTATTTAAAAACAAAAGGGTAGACGCAGTTAGCAAGGTTCAAAAAATACTAATCTTGATTGTGAAATTGACAACTTTCAACCAACTCACTGTGCTAATTGTTGTTAGTTTGTTTACTATTATAATATATATATATATAATATCTCAAGTTATATAAAATATCTAGAACCATAGAACTGAATTGAACCAAACCAAACCCATTTCTTTAGTTCGGTTCTACTCTGATTACACAGACTCAACAGTTTGATTATGGTTCCAATTTTTTGTGAACTGTAGGAAGCGGTTTGGTTCTTAGCTTGCTTTAAAACCGGACCAATCCCATCTGTAAACACTCCTATGATGCGTAAATTTACGTTGTTCAAAAAGATTGCCTATGTCCATGGCTCACACCATCTCACTATACCAAGAGAAGAGAAGAGTTACAATGTGGCTGTTGTAAAGACAATAAAGTCAATAATATATTTGCTAGGATTTATATCAACAAATTGCCGTCATACCCTTGCTTGGATCTGCGCTTGCATGGTGACGTACTAATCAAGCTCCACAAACCCAACATATGTTAGATGTGAATCGTAGTCATTATGTCAGTTATGCCCCACTTCTTGCATTAATCTTCACTATTTCATGTTATTATGAGGTAGTGGAAAACATTGAGGTGTTCTTGCTACATTAGGCACCCTACTTCGTTGCCATCTCTACCTATATTGTTTTCGTTTCTTTTTCAGTGGTCTTGTTTTGGCCTATGCTGAGTGCTTTAATACTTTCAGGTGTGTCGCATTTGCTTGGCGAGAGACGCAGATAATGACGAGTTGAGATAGGTGCCTTGCTCTCATTTCTTTAATTGTGTTGCATTTGCTTGGTGTGTTGCATTTGCTTGGCGAAATACGCAGATAATACGTAGATAAATGGCTGAAGATCAATGCATCCTGTCCCTCTGTAAATTTGAGATTGGTGACAGCAATGGAAATTCATCATCTACAGGAGAACCCAGCCAGCAAGTGTGAAGTATCAGGGGATTGAAGTTACACGGTACACTAAATGTGATCATATCGTGGGATCAACTTGCTCTTTTAGTGGGAACACTTCCTCTTAAATTGAACCTTGCCCCCCTTTTTTGCCAATGAATCCGGGTTGTACAGTTTGAGTCAAATCAATAATCTTGTGAAGCTTGTATAATATTATTTTCAATTTCAATTATTCACATCAAATTTTAAGTTGGAAGGCTGTGCATGAATATTGACTACTATTCTCTTGAATGAATGAATGAATGATTTGAACATGGATTGACCTCTGCTTTGTGGCTTTGGTTTGTTGGGGCTTGAGCACCTGTTAAAGACAAACTTCTCAAAGTTCAAATAAATGTCAAAGATCTATCTGACCTTTCCCCATGTCGCATTTTGAAGCGTTAATAACTTTCCTTAGTTCATAAGAATTTCACATAATGGAAAACAAATGTGAGACACTTCCAAAATGTGAGTCACACTAGGGGTTCACCATATATGGGATCCCATTCATTCCTTCACACACTTCCAAAATGCGTGGACAAAAACATACCTCTTTGTTGGTCTAAAATAGTAGAATTCACAATTTTGGACTAATCAAATGTTGTGTTTTGTTCACACACTAATTCATTTTTCCTATTCTACGAAAATCCTATGTACACATAGATTTACTCAAACTTATGGAGAATTGTTAATTTGTGCAGTCATGCTTTGGTCCTATTTGGTGAAACTTTTTTAAGTTAAAAGTTGATAATCATAAAGCAGAAAGCAGAAGTTAAAAGCACTTCTACCCCATCTTTTAAATAATCAATTTTTTTCAGTTTATTTAAGTTATTTTTACCTAATAAGCTATAAGGAAAAGCTGCACCAAACAGTCTGACATAGTCTCTGAAATCAAAATAAGTTATAATCACCTCTCAAAAGCTGTAACAAACAGCTCCTTGCTTATTTGAGATTTACTCAAAACAAACTTATGGGGAATTGTCTGTCTGTGCAGTCATGCTTTGCCTATTTGCTTCACATTCTCTTCCGTAACATCCATTTTTAATTCTTGAAGCACTCTTGGTGCAGTGGCACCCATCTAGAGATATTCTTAATTTCTATCTGACATTGTTTAGATTGCTGAATTTTGTTTATAAGGCCATGTTCAATTCTTAATTTCTAACTGGTCTTTGCTTAGGCTGCCAAATTTTCTTTATGATTGTTTTTCACACCATGCTATCATATTTTCTGGCTAACTTTCTGGAAAGCTTATTTCTTGCTTTTGAGACCCTCGTTTGACAGGGGTCTGGTTGGTTATGTTTCCATTTTCTGTTTTCTATTTTCATTTTCATTTTTTTTTGGAAACACAGAAAATTTGTTTGGCTAACTGATACTGAAAACGGCTTTTGGGAATTGCGTTGTAGCTTATGAAAGCTTATAATACAGTAACGAAAATTCATTACAAGACAGGTGCTCTTGATCTTATTTTTGTTATTATGCTAGTGAAAAGGGAAACAAACTGGAAAAGAAAAAAGAAAAACTCGGAAACAAACTGCTAAATTTCTCTGCACCATTTTCTGCTCATACATGAGCTGAGGAGCTGTTTGCAGCTCAAATAAACATCCATGTTACTGAAACCAGACTGATCATCGGCAACAAGCTTCCACTCAACTCTGCTACATCATTGCTGCTTGGAGTGGCTTTTGAGTCCAAACTCGAACCAGTCCCAGAAGAAGAAGATGATGATGAACCAGATGAAGTAGAAGCAGAAGTTGGCAGTGAATCTGTCGTTTTGGCAATTTTGATGTTGTTTTGTACTCAAAACGACGTCGTTTTGACAAATTCGAGCCATTTGAGCCACACAAATTAGGGCCCTCTATCATTGTTGTTGATTTATTTCTATGTCGATACACAGATCAAAAACCTAATCCCAAAGCATAAAACCATTTATTTTTGGTTTGGTATAGTTGGAGAAATTACAGGGGCAATTGGAGACTTTGGCATCAATGTTGCAAGCAGAAGGCATTTGAAGTGCCAGAGTGGCATTGACATTGAGGCCCATAGAAGGATCAGTGCTCTCCTTGATAAGAACACACAAACATTTGGGCTTGGCACTCTTCACTTTCTGGGTGTCGTTGCAACACTGCTGTGTTGGCTTCTTGGCAGCCCCACTCACGAATGGAATGCAGGCCACCAGGTTGGCAAGTTGGTTGGCGCATTCCTTCTCATCTTCCTCCTTTGTTGCCACTGCTGCCACCACCAACATCAATGCTAAAATGGACAACATTGTGAGCTTCTTGGTCCTCCCCTTTTCTCTTAGTGAGTGCTAATGTGGCGAGTGTAAGAGTTTTTATACGGTTTTGGGGGCCTCTTTGTCTGTTGTTCCTATGTGTTCTTTGTTTTAGGAGGAGAAGGGGTGCTTGTAAGGGTTATATATAGAGAGTTAGGTAAGTTAGGTATTTATCATATGATGATACAGTTTGTTCCAGTGAATGGATCGGACAGGTCCAAGCTTCTCAAGCCCACGTCCAAACGATCAAGCCCACCGGATAACCTGCAAACAAGTCCAACGGGGAATGGGGTAGTCCCCCAGTGAACCCTCCGACGAGCAAGTTAGAAGGAGAAAATAGGGTGTAGAGAGAGAGATTAGAGATAGAAAGCTTAACCTTCTTCTTGTCTTCAACGTTTGCTTATATCCTTTGGTAATCATTTCGCTGTCCCTTCCGACCTGCCCTCATCGCCGAAAGTCTATGTTGTAGCTTACCTTGTTCAGGGTAAGGGGATCATGTTCCGACGGAGAGGTGTTGTCGTAATAAATGCTGTGATGGGCTGCATTAATGGTGATGTGCAGTGGCAATAACTTTGCAGATCTTTGTTTGCTGATGTGGCTCGTCCTTCACTTGTCATGTGTCTGAATGTCATTGGCTCTTTATGCCATGTTGGATTCCAGCTGTTCTGGACCTCACCAGCTGGGTTATGTATTGGGCTCCAAGTGATGGGCTTGGGTTGTTCATAGTGGTTCATGGCCTTTATGGGCTTATACACGTCAGTAGTCCCCCATTCCCGAGTGCAGCTTTAGTTCAACGAAGGGAATATTAATGAAGAAAATGAGGGTGTTAGGGATTGGCAGGATGGAGGTCGACCAGCAGGGGTGACCGAGTGGAAGGGCCGACCACGAGGGGGGCCGACCGCGAAGGTTGGTCGAGTGGGAGGGTCGACCACGAGGAGGGCCGACCGCGAGGGGTGACCGAGTGGGACGGCCGACCATGAGAAAGGTCGACGGCAAATGGGGGCCGACCGCAAAGGTTGGCCGAGTGGGAGGGCTGACCACGAGGAGGGCCGACCGCGAAGGGGTCCGACCGCGAAGGTTGACCGAGTGGGAGGGTCGACTATGAGGAGGGTCGACTGCGAAGGGTGAGGCGGAGGGGCGTGGGGCTCGAGAGGCGACGGGTTACGTGGTGATTTGAAGTGGAAAGACAGGGTAAGGGGAGGAGA